GCATGCTCCATCACATGTATGCAAAGAGCATGCCTGGGGCTGCTGTGTCTGCAGTGGGTTATCCATCCCATCAGGAAAAAGCAGGTTTGCTGCTGGTGCGGTACTGTGATGCTGCAAACCTGCCGCATCTTCCCTGCTTCATCCCACTCTTGTATTCCCTGGAGGGAGGGGAGGTACCAAGCTTGGAAAAGCACCTGGAAGGGCAAATTCATGGAATAGAGATTGTGTCAGGATCGTACCAGAGACAGATCCCTGCCACTGCTCAGCTGCAAGCTGGGGAAGTGGATTCATTGGGTAAAGATGCTCTGAGAGCATCTCTCGCATGCAACATCCAAGGGGATGCAAATGTTTCCTGTAGATGCTAAAAGCAAAAGATGGGAGCCAGTTTATGGAATAGGGGAGAATAAACCAAAATCCAGTTGGATGTCCAGGATTGTGATGGGAATCCTGTGACCTTTCAAGTGGGTCTGACATGAAGAGCCTTTTCATGCTGGCCCGATGCAGTCAGAGGCTGGGAAGGGGTTACTGTTTCCATCCATGAGGCAGATTAATTCTGAGGACTTTCAACTTTCCTTGCAAACGGCCTGAATTAATGTTTTAGGATTTCGGTCCCTGCCTCCTCCCACCCCCCCAAAGGCCAGACCCTGGAAGTCCCATTATGCTCCTGTCAAAGGGGCTATTTCTGGAATTGATGATATGAATGAAGCCTAAAACTCCGCTCTCATTAACGTCTGCAGCTTATCCCAGTGTCACTCCTAAGCTGGTGGGACTTGGTGACGCTGCAGGGGAAGGCTGTCATTTCAACCCAATTTTCACATCACATTTGCACAAAAAAATCCCAGGTCTTGCCAGTGCTTTCGGCACATTTGTCAAATACCAGCCACTGCCCCAGCGAGCCAAGGCTTCATCCAGCACAAGGGAAAGGACTGTGGGTGGGGGTGAGGGACCTGGTTATGGTCTGTGGGTCTGACTGACCTCTCCATGGCCAGAAAACAGGCAGCAGAGCCAAGGGGTTACCTGGATGGATTCAGAGTTTGATGCATTTCTGTGGTTGGGTTTTACTGCAGGGCTGCCCAAGCACTGGTCCCCACCTTGCCCATGGAGCCCAGCTCTCCATCACGCTGGCTGTGATTCTGGGGGGTCCCACCCCATCTCCAGCAATGGCAGGGCAGCAACACATGGTATTGGCACTGCTGCTTTGCTGGAACACTGGCACTGCTTTGGGAGAGCTGGAGGAGGGGGTCATGGAAGGAGGTGGAGAGGAAAGAGAAGGATGCAGGGAAGGAGGAGAGAGGGGGAATGGCAGAAGCCACCTGGAACTAGCAGAGCGCCAAGGTAGGAAATACATATTAATCCTCTGGAGGAGAGTGTTTGTCCCTGTAAAGCATCACCAAACTCTGCCCTCCGCACCCCTTGGTGTGGGTACCTGGTTCCCCCAGTGAAGTGACTATGATTTTGGGGGATGGGTGATGCTGCAGCATAGTCATTCTTGCTCTCCCCATCCCCAATCCAAAGAGCAGTGTGTGCTCAGGCTCAGCACAGAGAGCCTGTGCTGCTGATGGACCGAGCACTGAGCCTACTGTCCTCTAGGTTGGCGCTGCCCTCGAGCAACAGCTTTGCATTTAATTCACTTGCTGGTGAATTTGATCTAAACTTCTGCAACCAAATCATAGCAAGCGTAATTCAATATCTTCCTCTTTCAATTATATTAAGCTGGGTAGCGCTGGTTAATTGAATCTGGGGCTCTTGCCTCTTAATTAGGAAAGGTCAGGCTCTGCTACCTGCACAGGCATGGCTTGTGGTGGAAATGGGGCTGAGGGCTCTTGCTCTGTGCAAAGGATGCTGTTGGTAACAAGTGAGTGACTTCTGGGGGTTTCTTGGTGCTTTAGCTTGTGAATTTTAAGAGTCTGGTTACAGCAAAAGCATTATTGGATTTTTCTGTGTAGCAGAAACAGATTTCTTTTAGCTGAAAAGAATCCATGAACCCTTTGTCTGTCTTGAGCAACCTGATGGTAAAAATGTGGACTTTAAAGAATGAGTGAGCAGGTGACTCCGGAAAGGAAGGACTGACACCCAAGGTATGGAGTGTGTAGGGTGATGACTTGCTGTGTGCTGCTGTACTTGCTGTGTGCACGTGAACCCCTTTATTACTTTAAGTATCAGCCCTATGGATCCTGCCTGCTCAGCCTAAGCAAATAGTTATCTCATGCAGCGTGGATTTTGGGCTCAGCTGAGCTCGGTGTGCCCTTCACCCTGAGCTTCACCGCCTCCTCACCTTAGCTGCTGGCTGAGGACCAGCCACTGTCTCTAGTGCTTCCCAAAGCCCCTTTTGCCCCTTCACTGCCCACACAGCAGCAGCCGGCAGCATTCAATAAAGCACCTTCTGCTTTTGCTAATTGAAGAGTTTCCCTTTGTCAGGCTCTCAGCTCAAAGGAGGGTCGGTACAAAGCCATAGCCATCAGCACTTTGTGCGGCTCTGAAAATCCCATTAGCAGAAGAAAGAGCTTGAAGTTTCATTCAGCTGGAAAGAAAAAGAGGCAAAAAGATATCCTTCACCCTCCCCAAACCTTCTGATGTATCAGCTGTGCATTAACATACCGCCCTCGGCACTGCTGGGGTCCCTGTCCCGGGAATGTTTAGTCAGGGTGATGTGTTATATCGGACTGAAATGTATTTGCTCGAGGAAGCGATATGCCGATAAGTGGGTCTGCGGTTAAAGCTGGGCAAAATAAACCTGCCAGCAGAAAAATACCCCCCCCCCCTCTTGCTCTCTGGGTCCCTCTCCTTCCCCACAGGCTGTTTTCCTGCCTGCAGGAGGTTTGTTACTGCAAGGGGAACTGGAGAGTGGGAGGGCAGGGACCAGCCCTGAGCTGGTGGCATAGGCAGAGCTGCGGGGATGGAATGGGATAAGGGGGGCATTTGCCATTGCCTCGCTGGTGACAGGATTGGGAGTGCTGGGGCTCTGGGCAGTGCGTGTTTACATAGATAAGGACTGATGCTACATGCAGGCACTGCAGGGGCCCTTTGGCGGGTGCACATCTGGTGCTGGTCCCCACATCTGCCTCCTGGCTGTGCATCACCCAGCAGGTTGTGGCATCCTGGGGGCTGCATACTCCTGGCTGCTTTTAAGAGAGAGTTTTTAAGGCTTTGCTTGCAATTAGTCACTGGTGCCAGCATGCTAACGGCGTTGAGAGGCTCAGCCCTTTGCACTGGACATGGGGCTGTGGTGAGCTTGGATCTACTCATCTGCCCTTGGTGGGTGTTAGGGCTGCTCTAGGTCTTGGAGAGGGAGCAGATGAGATCAAAGTGGCTCTAAGCAGATGCACATCATAGCTGTGTGCTCAGCTATACTTGCTTGGGATCCCAGCCAGCACCAAGCAGCTGCCCACTGTGGTGAAAGCATCACCCAGGTCTTGTGCCCAGCTGAGATGGAGCCCATGGAGGACACCCAGCCCTAGTGCAGGGTCTGCTCCCCCACCACTAAAGACTTTGCATGTAGCTTTGCCTGCCTGGGGAAGCATCCATCTGTTTCTGCAGGTTTTGACCCAACCAAGCAAGCTACTCCTGAGCCTCCTCCCTTCCTTGCTGAGCATCTCGCACAGCCCTTGCAGATGCGTGTTCATTCTGTCACCGTTTGGGATCTTACAGGGTTTTTTTCACCTGTTCTTTATGTTCTGAAGGGCTTTGCAGTTCCTCGCTGGCAGAGCTGTGGATGAGACTGGCTTTGCAGAGGGATGCTTTCCAGTCCCCTATGCTGGGGAATGCCTGTGGATCCCCACTGGATGCTGCCCCCTCCTCCAGCTGCCCTCCACGCCTGCCCCCACAGGACTATATTTGGGCTAAATATTCCAACCTGGAATGTCTATCCCGATATCCTGTAAACGTTTCTTCCCATTAAAACACCCGGATTGCTGACAATGAAACCGTGACTCAGCACCATCTGATTTCCCAGGAATTCACCCAGGATGGGAGCTGCCAGCTCCAACCCCGCGCACCCGGCGGGGTGGCACCTGCTGATTCATCCTCACCTTCTTCTTCCCCAGCCTGATAACGCTACAGCACGGGCTCCCAAACACCACCCGCTACCGCGTTGCAGCGAAAGCTCTTGTCTGGCAAGAGCCACGCTTATTTTCCTGGAGCTTGGAAGCTGCTGCCTGCACCCAGGCGGGAGCATGGCCCCGACTGCCTGTGGGTTGTGGCAGTCGATGGGGTGTTTTCTGTGCTAGGCTGGAAGACAACCCCATCACCACATCGCACCACCTCCTGGGTTTGACATCTCTGTGCCATAGGCAAGAAATGCTCCCTAGAAGGATGCAGAAATTGGGTACCAGGTTTGGACCATCCCCATGAGGATTTGCTGCAGCAGCACACTTTATTCTGTCCCAAAAGTAACAGCATCCAAAGTGTGTCCCAGCAGCTCAGCCCTTTAAAATTGCTCCAAGTGGCAGCAGCCAGGGTAAGGATGGGCTCTGCTGGCCCTCATAGTCTTAAAGGCTTTTTGGTAGTTAGTTAATGGTTTTGACAGTCTTAATTTGGACTGGGAATGAAAAGTTCAAGCAGTGACTTCAGGGAAATGCTCCCGGGATAAACTTTAACAGGGTTAATAGGAAATTGTGATGTTGTTAGAGTGTAAATGCCAGGAGAGGAAATCAAGTGTCTGGTGTGGGTTTTTTTCTTTCTTTTTCCTAAAAGTTGACACAGTTCTTTTAATTTAATGTTTTAATCCATCCCATCAGTTCTCAGCACTCTTGCCATGCAACTTTCATGCTGTAGCGGCTTTCACATTAGCTGTAGCCACCGATGTGAGCACGGGGAGAACACACCATCAGTTTGCTGTGCAGGTATCTAAACAGCAGGCAGGTTTCCATGCGAACCCAAAGTGTGACCTCGAGGAGCTGGTGGGTGCCTTGAATAAAGACCAGAATAACCCCTCTGATGCAGTGCTGGCTGTTCGTGGATGCTCGTCCAGGTCTGTTGCTTCCTTGATGGGCTCTGTGCAGGTGGTTCGAGAGGGTGAGCATGCTGGTGATCCTGCTCAACTGTGTGACACTGGGCATGTTCCACCCCTGCGAGGACATCGCCTGCGACTCTCCGCGCTGCAGGATCCTCCAGGTACCAAGCATGGTGTGGTGGAGGTGGCCTCAGGATGTTCAGGTCCTGCCTGCACTGGGGTCACACCGGCACTTAAAAAATGCTGGTTTTGGTGATCAGATTGAAGGCAGAAGTTCTTTACTGTGAGGGTGCTGAGGCGCTGGAACAGGCTGCCCAAAGAAGTGGTGAATGCTCCATCCCTGGCCGCGTTTAAGGCCAGGTTGGACAGAGCCTTGGGTGTTATGGTCTAGCGTGAGGTGTCCCTGCCCATGGAGGTTGGAACTGGCTGATCTTAAGGTCCTTTCCAACTCAAACCATTCTCTGATTCTATATGAATGCATGTGTGTCATAAGGCAAAGCCCCTCTGCCAACCCTGATGTAGCCAAGATTTGTTTAGAGTGCTTGGGGAGGGTTAACCATCCATAGTGAGCCCAAAATATACCTGTCCCTTTATCCAAGCAGTATGTGTGCTGTTGGCCAGTCTTGGGTTGGGGGAGGACATTTGGCTGCTCTCAGTTCTGCCTCTTACTCAGGGATTTTGGCTCTTGGTGGTGCAAGAGGAGACCTTATTGAACTCAGGTCTCTTCTCCCCTGCCCTAGTGTTGTGCATGCAGTGATGCAGGAACATCCCTCCTCCCTTTCTTTCTTTTGCAGAGTTTTGATGATTTCATCTTTGCCTTCTTTGCCGTGGAAATGATCGTCAAGATGATCGCACTGGGGATTTTTGGGAAGAAATGTTACCTGGGAGATACGTGGAACCGCCTGGACTTCTTCATTGTCATCGCGGGGTAAGCCCGGTGCAATGGGTCTCCCTCTTCCTGTGCCTCTCTTATTGTTTATGGAATACTTGGCACGTAGTGGATTTGAGGGAAGGTTTGCAGCCCTGAAGAATGGAGCTTTCTGGCACTGGTTGCTGTTGGTATTGTGCATCTTGTAATCATCCGGATCACAGCGGTCCTCTCCATAGCTTGTGGGAGAGCTGATGCTCAGCTCATGGAGAGAGCAGGGCAGGGTGGCAAAAGCTGTTTGTGGTGGACTGTGGCCAGCCCATGCCTTGGGGCTCCTCACAGGGCCCTGGGCTTGGCTCTTCCCCCTCCAGCCCCAGTGGTGGTTGTGGTTTCCATCAGGCGAGGTGGTGGAGGAGCGGGCGGCTGGGAGCACGGAGCGGCGTGCCAGAAGGATAGTTCAGTGCAATGTGCATGATTGCCTTCATTATTGTACTTCTTTTCTTGAGGGAAAACTACCAAGTTTTGCCTTTTTGAGTGTTTTCCTTTCAGAGGAACCTGGTTTGAATTAAAGGATCTTTGAGCACCCGAGAGTCTCCTGGCGGAGCCTTGAAATCCACATGAAAAAGTCCCTGGCCCCCAGCCAGAGCGCTGAGTTTCTTTGACACATGAATCTCTCGCCAGCCCTCGCTTCCCTCCCCACCTTTCCTTTGGGAAAACAGTGGGGTTTTCATCTTCTGATAGAGTTTAGAGATGGAATTTACTGGATTTTCCTGGAAAGGAGCAGGGGGCCCTCCTGGTTGGCCTGTTTACCTGGCATGGGTTTGGTGTGCCCCAGGAAGGGGCAGCACTTTGGGCTTTGCTTATGGTCCATTGTTGGCCCCATAGGGTCATGGCAGGCGTCTGGAAGAACCAAAGCAGTGGCCCAGTAAAACCAGTAAGGAGGTGGAAGGTCTCCCAGTTTATCCTTGGCCTGGGAAAACTTATTGCCATGGGGTGCTACAGATATCAAAAGATGTAGTGAAGCTCAAGCCACAGGCTGGAGGCAGAGATGAAGGGCAGAAAGGCCAAGAGCTGTAGCTGTCCCTGGAATCCATCTGCAGAAAGCTGCTTACCAGCTTTTCCAGCCCTTAGAAAAAGGCTCAGAGTTTCCTCCTAAAGTGTCTGAGCAACATTAGGGGCTGCAGGGATGGAGCATTGGACAGAGTGGGACCCGGTGTCCAATTGGTAGGGTTGTAAACATCATCAGCATGGCCAAGGGCTGGAGCCTGCTAAAGCCACCTGGTGTATTCTTTAGTCCTGTATTATTTCTCACACTACAATTAGGTGTGATGAAGAGCCAGATGCAAGCAAGGCCAGGCATCCACGTGGGGAGGCTCAGGGGGGCATGGTGCTGGGTGCTGCTGTGTTTCCCTCCCAGCCCAGTCCTGGCCATGCCTGTTGAGCTTGCAAAGACTTCGGAGCTGGAGTTTATCCTTGATGTGCTTTTATAGAGACCCCCCCATGATGGTACCTTGGTCTAGAGGGACATCAGCAGAAACAACCCCAATTCCTATTTCAAAACATAGCTGCATTTTGCTTAAGCAATCATCAAATCACCTACTGCACATGGGTGGGTATTTGGATGTGTGAGAGCCACCTCTTTCCCATGCAGAGCATGGATAGGGTACCCTCTATTCTTCTCACATCCCTGGGAGTGCACAGAGGCATTTATTTGTTGCAGGGGTTTTGCAGTCTTGTAGCTTGACCCCTCCTGTGACTCCTGCCATGTTGGCTTTGCCTCTCACTAAATGATGGCTCTTTCCTTCATGTGCATGAACTGTTCCCATCTGGGCCCCGTCAAAACCAATTCAGCCGGCAAAGGATCGAACTGGATTTAAATACAAAGCGGAGCCTCTCCTCCCCCTGTGCTCTCTTTCTCTGCTCCCTTTCATGCCCTTGTGTTCTCCTCCAGCCCTCACCCATCCATCCTGGACTGCTGCATCCTACTTGGCGCATCGCTGCATCCTGGAAGCACCCTCAGCCATCCCCAGCAGTGCCAAGGGCCAGGCAAAGCCAAGGGGGCTGCAGGAATGGGTCAGTGCTGTAGCAGAGGGGAATAAAAGGGACCCAAGCCCTTTACTAGACTCAAGATGTAGGTTAAAAGCACTTTAAGAATAAGAGAAAAAAAACACTCCATGGACAAATCCTAACCAGACAGAGGGAAATTCCTCCAGTAGCCTGAGCGCAGCTCTGCAGTTCCCACACAGAGCAAATTACCCACAAGGAGAGCATGTGCCAAGGCAATCTTCAAGTCCCTGCTGTATTTGCTGGATACCTGATGAAGTGCATCGTAGTTTTATGTAGGTCTTGTGTAAGGGCTTCAGCCGGGTTCCCCAGTGAAATGACAAGGGAAGAGACCTCAAAAATGATGCTTCCATGAGGCCCTGGAGACCACAGTGAAGTAGCTTTGCTTCTGCCTTCCCATTTTTTCCCTCCCCTTTTTGTGCAAGTCATTGGAAGAGGGAAGCAGGTCCTGGGCTCCTGCTCTCTTGCTTTCCCTGATGCTTCCCTTCCCTTGGGATGCAGAAAGTGATGGTAAGAGAAGAGGCAAACCCTGTGTGTGTGATACTGGGTGGGGAAGGCATGTCACAGTGGGGGATATGTGGGATGTGCTGCATGCCTGTGTGCTCCCATGGGCACATCATCCATAGAAACCCTTCCCAACCACTACCAGTCTAAGGAGAGGCTTCCAAAAAACCTTCTAGCATTCCATCCTCCCCATTCTTTGCAAAGTTTCTGGACCTGTCAGAGGTTAACCTTGCAGAGAAAGCTTTTTGTGCATGTTTGCCCCAAATCTGCTGCTTGCAGAGGGCAGGGAGAGCCGCTCAGATGCTGTGCTTGCTCCTGCTGCGTTGCCGGCCACTTTCGTGTCATGCCATTAAGTACTTCTCAGCCCTGTTAAACTGTCCAGACCAATCTCATGAGCTCATGGAGAGTAAATGACTTCTTTGTGACAATGTAATGCAATTAGTGATAATTGTAGAGTGTGTAATGTCTGCAACACATCTCTGTAATTACAGTAAAACTTGCTGGAGATGAGAATAGCGCTGTATTATCAAAACTCAGCTTAGCGAAACACGGCTTTGGCTGTAGGTTGCGGAGTTGCATAGGGAAAAGGAAAGGGAAAGAAGTGATGAATGGCATAATTACGCTGTGTTATTTTAAAGGAGAGGATTCAAGGAGTTCACTTTTCAGAGCACACTTGAAGGTGAACAGGCAGTGTGAGCCAGCTCTTGTGCTCTAAGGAAGATTCAACATGATTTCGACCTTTCCCAACATAAGATGGAGATGTATCAAAGATAAACACTTGTTTACATCCAAAAATATGCAGAAGTGATTGCAGTTTAATGCTGACTGAGGCTTGGGCTGGTGAACTGGAGCTAGGGGATGGAAATGTGCCCTGGCTTGTCATTTCAGGACCCAGCATCCTCCGGAGGACAGGGTGCAGGGACCTCTTCTTCAGTCTATGGGAAGAGGGGAGCCACAAATTGAGACCTACCTGCTCCTCAGCTGGAGCCATCTCTGTCCCCAGCCACTTTGCTGCAGGACTGGCTTGTTTTGACTTTGGTCAGATAAGGACTCCCCTGTATCTCTTCATCCCCAGGGATTAAATTGTTCTTTAAACCATCCTCATCAAAAACCACCCCAAAACAACAAAAACCAAAATGGTTAATTGTTTTCCCATGAGAGAAGCTTTAAATCGGGGGATAATTTGCTGCTGTAAGAGCTTACAGGGTTCCCCTCTGCCTTCTCTAGGGTCAAGCAGGGCTCTGGATCCATGCCTGTTTCTGCTCTCTCCAAGCAGGGCTGTGCATCATCCCGTGTTTGGGTTGTGCAGGTCTGTTGTTACTCTGGGATCAGTCAGTTGTTTGGCCAAGTCTGTGGAGCCCTGTTTGTGCTTTGCTCATTGTAATGGTAAACGGGGCTCTTAAAAGACTTTGTAGGAAAGTTAAACATTTGTGGTATATTTTGCCTACAATTTGAGCCGAGCTGGGGCTGGAGGTGGTTGGCAGCTGCTTCCTGCAGAATCAGACACCACTGCTTTTTCTCTTTGCTTCCTGAGCACTTCTAATGTTTGTTATCATTTTTTCCTCCCTCTGTTGAAGGCTATATTAAAGACTCGGCTCCACTGAACCCATCATAAACAACCCTTAAGGATGTCTTGCTCCCTCTTGGTTTTGAGTGCTGAATTTCAGGGATCAAATATGCTGCAGGAAGCCTTGCTGTATTTATAGAGAGAAGGGGTTGGTGCAGTCCACCTCTGCTGCATCTAAACCCGCATGGCTTCTGAAGAGCTCTTTAGCTCAGGAACTGGGATAAGGGTGATGCCGTCAGACTGGTCTCATGGTGCTGCAGCAGTCCCAGAGCAAGGTGCCTGCTGGGTGCTTTGGGTGAAGCTTCCAGCATGTGGCCTTCTCCTGTCAATGCCAGTTCACTTCACAGGCAGGCAGGGCTCTTCTGAACACCTCTTCATCTGTACCAGGCTGATCAAGGGGCTGCTTCAGCTCCCTGGTTCAGACGTGGAAGAAAAGGCTGCCATGGGACTGCCTATGGGAAGTCCCTGCTGCAGTCTCCTGCTGTGTCTGCAAAGGCTGTTCTTTCCCCAGGTATTAGTCACTTCGTCCTTAAAAGTAAGAGAAAGGCAGAGCTGAATGCTGCTTTCTCATCCCCTCTGCCTGTATTGATCCCTCTCGCACTGAAGAGCAGCACCTTGGAGATGTGCCCTCTGCGCTGGGGGGTAATTGCCCGTGTAAGTGGCTGATTTGCACACGCAATTACCCAATGTGCAATCACAGCTACAGCCCCTCTGAGCTGCAGTGAAAGCTGCATCAAACCCTCTCCCAGGTGCCTGCTGGGCTTTCTGGGATGGATGTGAGTGTCCTGAGAGCTGGGAGCTTCCTCACGGGTCCCCTCTGCATCCTGAATTGGGTGCTCTTTGCTCCAAGTAGCAGCGGCAGAACCACATCAAGCTGATGCTCATACTCACAAACCTTTGGGGCTCAAAATCTGGGGTTGACATTTGCAATTTGATTATTTAAGTGGCTTTTGGGAGGATGAAGAGCAGCCGAGACCCAGGGACCAGCAAAGCCCCGCAGCTGGAGATGCTTCCTGCTCCATACAGGAGCCTTCGAAGCGCAGCATCCTGAGCAAGCCACATCCCTGACTCACAGAAGCCTGCTGGGTAAAAGAAAAACCTCAGCAGCTTCCCCTGTAGCTGGGCTGGCTCAAACCCACCTGTGAAACGCCTCATCTTTTGCAAGTTTTAGGACTTTCTGGAGAGAAAACACTCAAGTTGCTCTCAGTTCTTCATCTGAACTTGCTGCTGCTTCAAAAGCCTCATTAGTCAAGTGTCCTGGCTGGGACAAGCGGTGCTGCTGGATCCCGCAGGCTGCGGGGTTCATGCTCCCTCCAGTTCCTTTCATTCTGTTCAGCTTGATCAAAATGAGCGGTTTTAAAGTTAATCAACACCCACGAATGCGGTGAGACTTAAAAAGCAGCTCCTGAGCAAAAGCAGAGCACAGCAAAGCCTGTGAGGGCCAGGAGGAAATCTCATTCCAGCTTTCTGAAGATGCAGTGCTGCCTAAATAATGTTCCCTTGTCTTTTCCAGCATCAGTGGCTTAATATCATCCACTGATAACTGCACTTTGCGGATAAAGGGTGTCTCTATGCCCAGTTTCGGTAACCTTTTGACACTGAATAAATCTGAGCCGATCTCTTGCTGGCAATGAGTGGCAGCTCTTTGCCTCTGTGGAAAGAGGGCCGGGCAGCTCTCAGGGATGCTTCCCTGCCTGCAGTCATAGCTCCAGGTTCCTTGTGTGACCTTGATCACACCTCCTGGCTGTAAAGCATCCCCAGCACCCAGCTGTGAATGGGGAGAGTTCAAGCTTCCCTTGCTAAGTGTTCTCAGCACAAACTCCATGACTCTGATGGGTCTTTGCACCATGTTCTGCTTCCTGAGCTGGAGTGATCCTGGGGATGGGAGCAGAGCTCAGGCCACAGAGGTGCTGGGTAGGTGTAGGAAGGGCTTTTCTGGGTGAGAAAGCCCCTCCTGTGGTGCTTCTGAGCATCACTTACGTGAGCCTTTCACCACAGGTAGAGCTTAGGAGACTGTTCCCAATGCTGAGGGTTTTATATGAAAGAAACCCCAGTGTGTTCTGAGTCTCTCTGTCTCCAGGCAGAACAGGAGTGAATTTCAGCTGCCCCGTCCACCCTGAGCCATCCCTTGTGTCTGTCTGCTGAGACCCAGGAGCTTTCCTTCTCGGCGGAGGGTTTGCCAAAGGTTTGCATTAGCGCTCTCTCTGCATCCCACCGCCAGCCCGTTCCTTGTACGTCTGCCTTTGCAGATGCTCTGCTTTTATTCTTAGAAAGCCCTAAATATTTCCGCTTTCCTCATGAATAACTCCAGTGATCGGGGGTTGCTGATTGCTCTGACGGGTCTCAGCATTTCCTATCAATCCATCCTATTTAATGCTGAGTATCTTCCTGAGCCTTTAACTTGTCTGGGCACCCGGGTGCGTGGCAAAGGCGCTGACAGGCATCTTGCTTTGCCGTTTGAACAGAAATGACATTTGAGTTGAAGATCCATCGGGGGCTTTTTACACTGCAGAGTTCCAACGTGTAGATGTTATATATGCTGGTAAATGCACGTCACCTTGCCGCTTGGTGACATCCTGACACTCACTCTCCCTGGGTATCTTCTCTTGCCAGGGACATGGGTTGATTACTCCCATGCATCCCCTTGCCTTGGGAAGCGACCTTCGAGGTGGGAAGTGGTGGGATTCTCACTGGGTTTACTTTAGTGACTGATTTTAACCCCCTTTTTGCTTCCCCCAATAATGTCTTCTCTCAAGGCTCTTGACCTGTTAGCTGTCAGCAATGTGTGGATCCTGTAGTCTAGGTCTGGGGTTGAATTTGTGATGCTGTAACACCAGTAGCAGTGACCAGCAGCAGAGGTAGGAGAGCACGTCCTGGTTCTTGGTGTTCAAGTTACTGGGTTGTTTGGTTGGGTTTTGAATTTTGATTTATAATTGTTCAATATGTTAAACCAAAACGCATTTTACAGCAGTGCCCTTTGCAGTTTACAAGCACATGTATCTCCGGGAGAGAGTCTAGAGCTGTCATTAATCAGAAGATGATTTGTCTTGGTGCAGATAACCATCTGCTGCTCTGAATTTTGCTGGTAGCTTCTGTTTTTAGTAATGGATGAAAGAAAAGCTGTATGTTTGACATGGGCTTTTTACCCGAAAGCTGCAAACTGTGCCAAAATCTTTTCCGACAATGAGTGAAACTTCAGAACCACTAAATCCCAGGAGAATTACTGTCCATCTCGTACCTTAGCCGAAGCTTACACCATATGGTAAGTCCTACGCATTGAGGAAGGGGCTGGTTTCATCACTGGAACCAGGTAGGCTTTTGTGGACACGTTGCCTTCCTCTGTGGTCAGAGAATAAGAACAAACATTTAGCATCCAACATTCATCTTCTGGGACTGTCCCTCGGCTGTGGGTGTCGGGTAAATACCGAGGAAAATGCTGAGGTTATTTTGATCTTGGATACGGTTTGAGCATCGTCATCCTCATTAGAGCCTATCAAGAGAAATCAGATGAAGTGTCACCTCATCAAGCGTGCAGTCGTGTATTTGGGGTTTAGAAAGAGCAAGCCTTCTCCACCTGGGTGCTCCTCACCTGCTGATGGCCAGGAGGGAGCAGAGTGGGTTTGGCTGATCACAGCAAGAGCGCAAAGAAAACTCCGTCGTGCTGCAGTGTGGCAAAGCTAACACATTCCCTGATGAATCCTGAGGGACTTCCAGCAGGGAGGGAGGGGGCAGCACTGATGCCTTAGTGCAAGGCACCAGGAAAAGCTCCTCCAGAAGCCTGATGCCTGATGAGGTAAGATTGATTTAGGCTAGGGCAAGTGTCAAGAAAGTTTGTGACTGGGAAGCAGAGTGCCTGTCTGCAAGATGGGGCTGGAAGAGCTTGTTTTGTTTGGCTTTGCAAAATCAAGGCTGAGAGAAGACGTGATTTGTCCTCTGTAAATACATCGGGTGGGTAAATACCAAGGACAAAACATCTACAGAATTAGAGAATCAACTAGAAGCTACAGCACTGCCATAGGAACAAATGGCTATGGCTTGTCCTGAATAAATTAGAGTTGGAAGTTAGGCTTCTAACCATCAAAATTGGAGGGAGGGAACCACCCAACCATCTTTGAGATGGAATTTGAATATTTTCAGAAGAGATTCCTATTCTGTGGTTGCCTTTGGCTATGCCATGAGCAGAATGAGACAGTGCTGGGGCACCCCAAGCTTGCAGCAGTCCAAGTGCATCCTCAGACTGTCATGTGCAGGTTGCACCTCAGTGTCCTGATCTGTGGAATAACCCCATCAGGCACAGTGTAGGAGCACTGGAAGGTTCCTTGGTCCATTTTTGCTTCATTTATTATCTACAAATGTCATCAGTTTTGATTTGTGTGCTTGCTTGTCCACTGGAGCCCCACTTGCCAATGGTCCCTGCTGGGTAGAGCTGGCGTGGCTCAGTGTCCTGTGCTGCACACCTCTCTTGCCCCAAGGAAAGGGTCCGCACCAAGGGATGCTCCTTTCTCCTTTTTAGGGCTGTGGTGGTGCTCAACACAGCAAACCCAGATGCGTTAAGGAACCTGTGCAATTGTTAAAAGTGGGGCTGCCAGGAGTGTGCAGCCACTTTCAGAAGCTTTTGCCCTCGACCTGTGCAAAACAGAGTAACCAAAGCAGATGACAGAGAAGGAAAATCTGTGTCTGCGTGAGCTGGTGTGTCACATTCTTGCTCATTGACTTTATTTGATAGGCAAACAACCCTTAATTAATTCCTCTGGCAAACCTTCCTGGTGGGAGAGATGCAGTAACAAGTCCCCCTGTGAGCGGCTGGCATATAATGTTTGATTTACAGTGTTTGATAATCTAACATTTCTCCATGCTCCTCCGCATTCGTGTCTCCCACAGGATGCTGGAGTATTCCCTGGACCTGCAGAATGTCAGCTTCTCAGCGGTCCGCACCGTCCGTGTCCTGCGGCCACTCAGGGCCATTAACAGGGTCCCCAGTAAGTCAGATTCTTATTTCTCCCTTTTGATGCAAGTTCTCTGTATCTGCCTAAAGATGGAAGATGCAGTCTTATACTGTAACTCAACAGTTCACACAAGCATGGTAGTGCCAGGTCCTACCACCACGCTCTGGTTTCCAGTGCCTGTCACTTCTCTGCTTTAAGTAATATTCCCTTTGACACCTGTGGTATCAGAGATAAGCCATTAGTCAGTAAGATATCCAGCACTGCCTTCAGATGCATTTCTTTGTCATCTGAAGAGGGTTTCAAGAGGCTGCTAAGGTGAAGGGATGCAGGTGATAGGGATTGACTGAGCCAAGGCAGCAGGGGCAAAGGGTTCTGAGCTATGCAGCTTCCACCCTCCCTGTGCTACCCCATCCTTTATGGGGTATATATACCTGGAGTATGTATATACAAATATGTGTATGTGGAATAGATAAATACCTGGAGAAATGGGGGTGAAGAAGTCTTCTTGTGAGTGGCATTGCCTGCTCCTGCATGGCAGCAGGTGATGGTAACCCAGCCCTGTGTACTGAGAGGCATTGGCCATTCCAAACCCAACCAAACTGCCCAGGGAGACATTCCTGCTGTGCAGTGCTGGACAAAGCCTGGAGCACTAAGATGCAGGGCAGTCCCTCTCAGATGCTGTATGGATCAGGTGTATTAAGCACACTTGCATCAGAAACATCATTTTCCTAATCCTACGATCCTGGGTATCAAATCCAACATTGTTCTAGCCAAATTAAATCCAAGTCCAAACTCCCCCATCCAAACTAGCCCAATGCCTTGACGAACACTGATCAGCTTCAGTTCTGACTGCTGGTGCTGGAGGTGCCTAGGGTCTGTTTGTTTTTTCTGGCCTTGACTCTTGAACTTAATCTGGCTTTGCTGCTGTTCCAGTCATCACGGTAGCTTCAGAATCCTGTTTGCAATGGGTTTTTTTTATCCCCGCTGCTGACCTGATGGATGGCTGAATTTATCCACCACTGTCTAACTAGGGATGTAATTCACTTAATGTATTTTGAAACCCTGGGTAATTTATCTTGGCTTCTCTGCAGCGCAGTTACAATGGGATAGAAATGTAAGGTGGGGGGAAAAATAGAGGTTTGTGTGATGATAAATGCAGTAACCACAGAAAGTCATTTCAGTTAATTAGGAGTTGATGCAAGGTGGTTGTTCCCTAGAAGATGAGTAGAAGAAAAACCCTGATAAAGGAGGCGACAGCATCAGGCAGAGAGAAAGGACTCTTGCTGAAGTATCCAAGTAAAGGATGCAACAGTAAAGGTTTCTTTAAATGAAAATCAATATAAGCGAGTGAGAGAATGCAGAAGATGGGGAAAGGAGGAGAGCGAGAGATGAGCAGAATATTACAGAGACGTCAGATGAAATCAAGTTTTTTGTGTGTAAATGTCAAGTCGAAGTCACCCTCAATTTGTCTTTGTTACAGAACTGGCTGTTCCTGAACTTGCGAGAATTAACTGCCAGAGAGAGTCTTGTATTTTAAGGAAGAGTGGGGATTTAGGGCAGATGAGCGGAATTAGGGAGGAAAGGGAATTTTAATATATACCGAGTGGGGAAACAAATAAGACTGAGCAAGGGAGAATGTCAGAGTTTGGTCTCGGGGAAGAAAGGAGACATGTAATCACTAGAGGACTTGAGATAGGGAGTGAAGGGAGAGGAGCAGTGAAGGTTGTTTGTGTGCCCAGGAGCAGGGTATGGAGGCAGGGAGGTTTTCCAGGGGCTTTGTTGGGAAACCGGGTGGGACCAGGGAGCTGCAGGTGTTTGAATCTATGTGTGGTTGACAAGGATGGTGGTTGGGAAGGCAGTGCAAGGAAAAGTATGGATGGAAAGGAAAAGGTCAGGAGGACTCAGCGTGGGCTTTTCGCTTCAGGTATGCGCATCCTGGTGACGCTCCTTTTGGACACGCTGCCCATGCTGGGGAACGTCCTCCTCCTCTGCTTCTTCGTCTTCTTCATCTTTGGCATTGTGGGAGTCCAGTTGTGGGCAGGTTTGCTCAGGAACCGCTGCTTCCTTCCCGAGAACTTCAGCATGTGAGTCTGTGTGGGCAGCAGAAGTGTCTCTGCAGCTTGGGCGAGTCTGTCCCTTCAGGCGATAAGGATATCCATTAAAAAGCCTTCATCTTCTCTAAATGCTCCCTGCTTCTAAATGCCACCACAAGTGCTGCTCAGGCACACATGGCCAGGACAGGGAGCTGTGGCAGTTTGACATTCAAGTCCTGCAGGACTGTTCTTAAACCCTCAGCCAGCACTTGGGAACCTCTCTGATCGATAAGAGCCAACAACACCCCCCCGAGCATAAGAGTTCAGGCTTTCTAAGTTCAGCATGTCACTAATGTGTGACCTCTTCTGCATTCATGGGACTCTGAGGGATGAGTCCCGTTCAGCAGCTGGTGGTGGTTATTGGTATGGCATTTGTAGTCCCACCTAAACCCCAGGGGAAACTACTGGAGCTACCACACTTTGAGATGCTAGATCCTTCTCAGTCTCAGAGCAAGAAATGGTCCCAAAGTGTCCGTTTTCTCAGATCCCTGGATTTTAAGCCAAAGAGAACTATTGTGATCAAATGGGGTTTTGCAGCACCCAGTTTCCAGGCCAGACAGCTTCCCAGATGTAGGAATGTTGGAACAATGGTTGAAATACCTGGTGGCCATCAGCCTCTTTGAGACTGGGATTTCCACACCTGTTCTCCTACCTACCTGCTTTTTCTCACCATCTCCCTCCGTCCGAATGAAAGGAGAAGGGCAGGTAACTGCAAGCCCCTGATGGCTGCTCTACCAAGCTCCAACACCCCCATCACTACCTTTCAGTTGACTTCCTGGAGCTGATCCAGCTACAACCATACCTGGATGGCGATGCTCTGTAATGCCACAACCTCTTTCTTGCACCATGATGGTGATGCTGATGCTGTGGCTGGGCTGGCTCTCAGGTCTGGAGCTGGCATGATGTACTTTTTATCCTCTTCCACACATCTTCTAATCAATACCACCCCTCCTGTAGATCATGCCCTCAAAGGGCAGTTGGAAGAGTCATTTCCAGGGCACGTCCTTGTTAAGTAAATGGCAGCAGAGCAGGGGCCCTGCCTCACCACTGAGTAAATCCAATAGAGCCACAGGTTTGGGTGCTGTTTAATTGAGCTGGAGTTCCAGGGGTTTAGATAAGCTTTGTGGGGTATTAAAGGCAATTCTGCAGGAATTAACCGGGCTGAACTAGGCTTAAAAATATCTGCAAGCTTTAGTGGAAGTCTTGGCAGCTTTAAGGAGATAGCTGTCTGCAGAGCGAGAAGCCGGTTGCTGGCTGGCCATGGGTTGTTTCATTTCCCTGAAGAGTGTTTGCTGTGGTAAGGCCACCCTCAGAGGGAATTTAGAGCTTATCTGTGCACTGAACAGGCACTGTGACATGCAGATGAAGGCCCTGTCTCTGGTTTTTAGTAAGCTTGGGAGGTCCTTGTACATAGAGTCTTCCCAAGCAATTCTCATCCTTTTCAGGAGGACAGGAGATACAGGAGCTTAAACCGACTGATTTCCATCTTACTGCAGCAAAGGCATTTCAGTGAAGCCCTGCTGGGCTGAATCCTGCCCTTAGTCCCCTTAAGTCAAAGCCAGAGCACTTCCAGATGGGTTACTCTTAACAGTGTCATCAGAGAGGTTGCTGAGTGGCCAAGTGCACTTGCCCCAGCTTCCCAAAAGTAGTTATTGACATCATCTCACTCCGTGGGGCTACAGAAAGTCCAAGAAGGTCCCTTTCAAAGCTTTGAGATCCATAATAACAGATGTTGGACTTTGCTGTCACAGTTGTTACCTTGCCAGACTGCCTGCAGTCAGTGTGCAAACCCCAGCCCTGTCTGGACTCTTTCAGCCCCTACACGGTGGATTTGGAGAGATACTACCAGACAGAGAACGAAGACGAGAACCCTTTCATCTGCTCCCAGCCCAGGGAGAATGGGATGCGCTACTGCCGGAGTATCCCAACGCGGAGGGAGGAGGGTCTTGAGTGCACCCTGGATTATTATTCCTACAACGACACCACCAACACATCCTGTGTCAATTGGAACCAGTATTACACCAACTGCTCCGCCGGGGAGCACAACCCCTTCAAGGGAGCCATCAACTTTGATAACATTGGCTATGCCTGGATTGCGATATTTCAGGTGAGCGTGGGCAGCTATAATGTGGTGATCGGTATTGGCAGGAGCAGGATTTGGCTCCCCAGTGTCTTGTACTGCACCAGGACCGGCTGTGGGATGGTCAGAAGTGACCCAGCCAGGAGAAAAGTTGCTTGTGTACTTGGTGTTACAACTGAGTCTTGATGGGTTCATTTTCCCTTCCTGTCTCCACCAGGTCATCACGCTGGAAGGTTGGGTGGACATCATGTACTTTGTCATGGATGCACACTCCTTCTACAACTTCATCTACTTCATCCTCCTGATCATTGTGAGTGGCCTCAGGGGAACATGGGCGTCTTCCTGGCATGTGGAGTGACCCAGAGGAACAGGGCAGATAATGCAGTGAATATAAAAGCTGATGTAGAAACCAGCCTGCTGGAAGACGTGCAGCTTCAATACATTGTATTGCAGCTGAGTTTTGCTGTGAACATAAAGGAAGGGAAGACGTGCTTAAGCTGGGGTAGATACATTCCTGTTGCTGCTGCTTCTACTTCCCTCCTTGTGCTCCAAGGTTCTCTCTCTTAGTTGCCACCTTGAATTTGAGTTTAAAAGCAGACAAATTTCCCCCAGTCAGGTTTTGAGCTCTGGAAGGGGAGGAGGTTTCCCAGAAGTTCCCCGTGTTGAAGGACAGGGACATAGAGGACATTTCAGGGAAACAATCCCAAACTTCAGAGAGCACATTAAGAAAGGAGGGAAGAGATTACTGCCCACAGCCCACCCACATGTCACAGCATCATCTGAGACCACCCACAACAGAGCCAACAAAGAGTATCTGTGGGGTGGGCTCCATGAAGGGCTTCATCCATGCAAGCAGAATTGACTAGTCTGGCTGAGCTCTCTGTATAGACTCTCTTTATAGTCAAGGGAGAAAAATAGGTGCTTTAAGGGAGTGATTCATCTCCTCAAAGGTAGACATCCAAAATAAATTAGATGCATTGCAGACTTGATGTGCCTATTTCTCTCTTGACTCTAAAGGATCATTAGGTGTCTCACTCGGATCTATCTGAGATAAGTGAGATGAGTCCCTTTCTTGCTTTCTAATTTGACTAAGCCCAGCAAAATAGCTGCACGTTGTCCATTAGGCCATTGTGGGGATTTCTGCTCCTCATCAAACCAGGACTCAAACCCTGATGAGAGAAGATAGGAGGTCGTTTAGTCCATGATGGTTTTTCTGGCTCATCTAATAGCTTCCCCAGAAAAGAAACCATCCCTTGCTCTCAGCATCCCCGAAATGGCGGGGAGGAAGGACAATCAGTGCTTTTCCAGATGCCGTGCGAGTAACGTTAACAGTATGTGATAGTCCGTTAGCATGTCAGTAATTCCCTGTGATCCAGGCTGGGCTCTGCAGAAGGCAGAACCTCATGAAACCCTGGCTGGAAATAAAGCCTCCAGGCTGTGGGTACAGCCCGCTGATGCTCTTGCGTAACAGTCACCCGCAAATCCCGTTAGCAGGGGAAAGGGATCTGCTTGCAGGCTGCCCTGACTCTGCCAGGAAGAACGTTCCTATCAGGAAGCCTCAGTGCATTCATCAGTAATGCCACTAATTGTGATAATTACAACCGCTGTCTGCGGGGAGAGAAAAACATCATCTTAAAAGAGCAAAATCTTTTTGTCACAATAATCTGCTCTCGTCTTTGATCTCTGACGTGCTCTGTGGAGCGCTGGTGTGCAAGTCCTTGGGGTGGGGGTTTCGGGGGTGACTCAGTCCCCCCATGGTGCTGGCTGATGGTCCCTCTTGGGTGATGCAGGGGACAGGGCTGAATGGGGTTTGCTCCATCAAAGCTGGCTGATGGCTCTTGCTCCCTTTAGGTGGGCTCCTTCTTCATGATCAACCTCTGCCTGGTGGTGATAGCAACGCAGTTCTCCGAGACGAAGCAGCGCGAGAGCCAGCTGATGAAGGAGCAGCGAGTGCGCTACCTGTCCAATGCCAGCACCCTCGCCAGCTTTTCAGAGCCAGGCAGCTGCTACGATGAACTCCTCAAGTACTTGGTTTACATTGTCCGTAAAGGCAGCAAGCAGCTCGTGGAGCTCTACCGGGTGGCGGGGGTGAGGATGGGCTTCCTCGCCAGCCCCACGAGCAAAGCAGGGTCTGACCGGCATGCCAGGAAGCACCGGAGGAGGAAGAGGTCCTCAGTGCACCACCTCATCCACCACCATCACCACCACCACCACCACTATCACCTGGGCAATGGGAACCTGCGGGCACCTCGTGCCAGCCCCGAGATCAGCGATGTGGAGACCAGCTCACTTCACAATGGGACCAACCGGTTGATGCTCCCCCCTACAGCATCAACTGCCCATGGGACCCCCAGTGCTGCTCCCAGCAACACCGAGTCTGTCCACAGCATCTACCATGCTGACTGCCACTTCGAGCCAGTGCGCTGCCGATCATCCCTTCCGCAGCCAGGCCTTGGCTTGCCAAGCCCTGAGGGGATCCCCAAGAACATTGTGGGCAGCAAAGTGTACCCCACGGTGCACCCCAGTACCTCCCATGAGATGCTGAAGGAGAAGAACCTTGGGGAAGCAGCGGTTGGTGGTGGGAGCAGCACCCTGACAAGCCTCAACATCCCACCAGGGCCGTATAGCACCATGCACAAGCTGCTGGAGACCCAGAGTACTGGTGAGCCTGGGGCCGGGTGTCAATGTAGGGTTGCCTTGTAGAAATACAAGCTGTGACCTGATTTATTTCTCTTTCTGCAGGATTCTTTTCAGTCCACGTTACAGAGAAAGGCGATAGCTTTCCAGGTGAGGCCAACAGAAACCTTCTGACCTACCTAATGTGTTTTGTAGCCAAAATCAGCAGAGAGTTTTCAGCATCCTAGAATTCGTACTTTCAAACATCCAAGGGAAATTGGAGTTTTCATTGAACTCATTTTCTTTCTCATCCCCTGTCCTGGGGATTTATTCTGCAACTAATTTCTCCCCTCAAACTAACTTAATCTGCAATTACAGGGATCACCACTTCCCAAATCAGTTAAAACTGGGCTCAGTGACACTGAGCCTGGCTGCTTCCAAATGGTCACACTCCTTGCTGAAATGCAGGGGCTGGAGGTGGCTGCACTGCCCACTCCTTGCTGCAGAGCTTGGGGATGGGCACCCCGCAGATCTGAGTCCCAGCACATCCCCGATCACTGCGTAGCTCTGCTCCGTGTGGCACACAAGGCTTGGGGAGATCAAGTGTCTGCTTTGCTCAATGGCAGTTGCAGATGCTGAGTATTAACAATCAGTGATTTGCTCAGGAAGCCCATAACAGAGCCAGGCGCTGAATGCAGCTTTCCTGGATCAGGGGTTTCATACCTTCACTGCTGGATGCTCTTTCCCCCTCCACATCCTGAGGTTTGGAAGCTTGGGCCAGTCTAATCCAAACCCTCTCAGCTTCCAAGCAGCATTTCTGGCCAGGCTTTCCCAGACAATGAATTCCTTTTCCATCCCACCACGATAGCATTGACCTTTCCAGCCAGGAGCTGTGCAGGGAAGAAACCAAGTCCCCAGCCCAGAGACTGAATACACAGAGCTGGGCTCTGAGTTGGTTTATCGCTGGGGTTTTATTCTCACTGCGGCATGCTGCTGTGCAGGAGTCAAGCATGTGCTTTGCAGATAGCCTTTCCCTTTGGCCAGATGGTGGGATATAGGGGAATATCCTGCTGGTATTGTCACCCGGGAGCCACCTGGCAGCTGGGAGCTGCTGTTGAGGGCAGCACATGGAGGGGGAAGCTGGTGATTTCGGAGCATCAGCAAACAGCGGGAGCAGGAAAGGAGGCTGCTACAGCAGTGCTGCTGATAATTACATCCCAGAGCCTGCCAGGGCCAGAGAGATGATTGCTTTCTCCTAGCCATAATGACCAGAGGTGTAACAAGGTGAGCTTAGGGTTCTGGACAGCTCTATCTGCCTGGGGACAGCAAAGAGGGCTCTGTTACTAGGGAGAAATCACTTGGGAAGCCCAGGTTTTGCCTAGGGCTCTTTAACCCAGCAGGAGCCCTTTTCCCATTAGGAAATGCCTGTCGTGTCAAGGGCATCAGCTTGATACTAATGGGGACTGGGGGTTGCTCCTATGGCTGACAGGCTGCCATGCCCCTGCCCCAATGGCATTTCAGGGCCTTGCCAAAGCTCCTGCAAGATCCCCAGCCCCTGCACCAAGCTGGACGGTGGCTCCTGCAGCCCCGAGAGCTGTCCCTACTGCCTCAAGGCGCTGGCAAGTGAAGCTGAGCTGACGGACAACGAGACGGCCGACTCGGACAGCGATGGGGTCTACGAGTTCACGCAGGATGCTCACTACAGCGACCAGCGGGACCCGCAGCGGGGCAGGGCTCGCGCCAGGAGAGCAAGCCGGGTGCTGGCCTTCTGGCACGTGGTGTGCGAGACCTTCCGCAAGATCGTGGACAGCAAGTATTTCGGCCGTGGCATCATGGTGGCCATTCTCATCAACACGCTGAGCATGGGGATCGAGTACCACGAGCAGGTGAGTGCTGTAACAGTGGCTCTTGGCACAGCGGGGATGTGGGGCTGAATCCATCTGCCAGTGGGATGGGGAGAGGCATTGGGATGCTGTAGGGCCTCAGGATAAAACCAGGCTGGCTTTTTCTCTCTTGAGCATGCTTTCAGCTTGCAGGCTGGGGCAGCAGCAATCACCCCAGCTGGTACCTGGCTATGTGACCTCCTGCATCCCAGCCTTGACAGGGATGTTCAGCACTGTGCTGAGATGGCCATCAGCACCATGCCCTGCTGGGTTCTGTGGTGCAGAGCCCAAGGAGAGGCACCAGCTGTTTGCCACTGGGTTTGTGCCAGCCCAGCAGTGCTGGCTGCAGGCTCCGGGGTCAGTGCAGCTGCAGGCAGGGAAGCCTATTGTATTTACAGTCCCTGGAGAGGAGGTAACAAATGCCTTTGCTTCCCTGTGAATGCTCCAGCAATAGTCCAAAATAGACTCATCTCTGGCTATTCCTCTGCTTGATTATCTGAGTCCTTGCAGACAAGAGGCTGCTTCTGTTCCAGCCTCTCGCACACTTGTCACCTAGCAGAGCTTTTCCCTATATATAGTCATTAAGAAAAGGAGTTGCTACATTCCTCTTGAAACATCTCCACAAGGATGACAAGAGCTCTGCTTTCAGGGAGGCTTTTGCAGGGTCTGGTCTCATGAGGGTTTTGTGGCACGCTGCTGGCAGCACGCCTGGCATGGTGCCTCTGGTCCTGCTGCAGGCATCAGGTGGCTTGGTGCTGCAGGTGCACACTTTGTATTTGGGGTGATGAGTTTATTAGCAGGTATGGTGAGATGCTGCAAAACCTTGTTAGATACTCCTGCAATGTTCAACGGCTCCCTCTGACCAGCATGGTGCTGCTCCTGGGATGCCAGACGTCTCCTCTCCCAGACAGACACAGCCACCCCTATCCCAGTGCCAGCCTTTGCTGGGACCTCCCTCATATCTTCAGTGATGGCTTTTTACTCTTGTCCCTTCCTGGCACGTTTCATGCTTGCAGGGGCTTGTTGTATGCAGAGGCATTTCTCCCACAGTGGCAGTGGTGGTGGCTTGAGATCGACCCCAAGTTCCTGTGTCCCGCTGTGGCATTAATGCCTCAATGACCGAACACCAGGGAGGCATGGCTGTGCTCAATGTGTCCCTTCCAGCCAGCACCTTCTCCCTGATGTCCTAATACAGTCTGGCTGGCTACCCGCTGTTTTCAGTACACATTAAACAGCGATGCGTTCTCCAGTCCTGCAGGTTTCACCTTCATGTGCTGCCCTTGGTGGGAGCTCTGCAGGGAAGCTTGAGTGATTCCCCCTTTATTTAATAATAGCAGGAAGATAATCTCCTAAGAACCTGGGGGGAGGTGGCTCACAGAAACCAATGAACAGTCATATTCCTTCCTTGGCTGAAAGGTGAAAGCAGATCCGCTGTGCCTGTCCAAGTTGGGGATTAAGGTTTGTTGCCCTTTATCAGGAGCATCTTTGGGAGATGCTGGTGTAGGCTCCCACCCTGCACGTACATCCTCCTGCGGATGCGTGGGTGAGCAAGCTCCATCATCAAACACCCTAAAGGCAACACAGCTCCTTGATTCTTTGGCTTGGGGGAAAGGGGTCAGTGGGATGCTGGCCTCTGCCCTGGCCAGTGGTGAGTCCCCAGCATTGCAGCTGGATGGGAAGTGACAGATTTCTGTGGTGGTTTCCGGGTAAGAAGGTGAAGGGAGCGGATAAGCGTGGGGGGACTCCAGATGCTGTGGGTGGTTGCTTGCTTTGACGGTATTTTTGAAGCTACTACTGTTCCAGATTCCTTTCTCCCAGGCATTTGGAGTGAATAGCAGAGCTTGTTTTTATTAGTTCATCTGCTCAAAGTGGCGGCAGAGAGCAGGGAGGTGTTTTTCTCTAAACTGGAGGCTTATAGTCTGCAGTTTCATAATCTGACAGTTATGAGAGCAGGAATTAGAGGGAGGAAATGCTGGACCAGGCCTTGCTGCAGAGATTATAAACACCGAAACACGACTTTTTTCTGTTAGAAGAGCGTGCAAGTGATGAACCACGCCACGTTTATCTTCACTGGCTGATGTTTGCAAAGATATGAGGGGGCCTGAAGAGTACTTGACTCCATGGCTTTCTATATTAAACTCTCTGCTTATTTAATGGATATTTACCTCTTGGGATTTTCACATGAGCACTCTGGCACCCTGGGCTATATTAGGAGAAATGCTTTCAGGACATGTTTTAAGGTGCTCTGTCAAAAGCCTTGTTTACCAGAGAGGAGAGGACACACTTGCACTAGAGGAGGATGTGCAGGACCCAGGGATGAGCTGCAGTGGCTCACCCTTGCCTGGCTGCGTAGGGTGATTGTGGGCAGCACCATGTCCCCTCCAGCCTTCATGGTTCTGCATCAGTTCAATCCAGGACATCTAAATTTTGGCTTCTTTCATGCATCTGGATCTGTGTCAAGCCTCCAGGTCAGGAAGGAAGGGAATCAATTGTAGAATAGTTTTGGTATCTCTTGCACCTCTTTTGAATTGTTTTTTGTGAGTGCAGTGACTCAAAGACCTGTCCCATGCCCAGGCAGCAGCTGGTGCTGCACCAGGGGCTCTGAGCATCATAGATCAATGCAAACTGATGCTGCACCCCAGCTGCTTCACTCCAACTGTAGCCTTAATAGTACAGCCCAACTCTTCTCTCTGGTGAAAGTCCTAATTTGGTGCTTCCCAGTATGAATCTGATTCATTAGGCTGTGATTCAGGAGACACTTAACGCATGTGCATTCATCCCTCTGATCAGTGAGACAGCATTACCCTGGACAACTTCTATCTGCTCCGGGCTCTTCCTGGGAGCTCACAAGGTCCCCCGCTCAGGCACTGTCTTCTCTTCCTAGAGGTACCTCTACTTCCACGTTGGTGCATACCCCATGTCTCTGTTTAACTCCATTACACATCTCTTCAGCCCTGTGCCAGCCACTCTTAGCCAAGAGATCAAAGCTTTGGCAGTGCAGTGAGGCTTTCCCTCCCCCGGTGTTTGCTGGCTTTGCCCAAAGCAGGGCTTGTAGCTAGCATCAACTTGATTCCTCAGTGCTACAGCTGCATAGGGTGCTCCCACAGTAGGAAAATGAGATGCCCTATAGATTCGTACGTGCTGTATTCAATTAGCTCCTGCTTGAGCAGAAATTACTCTTATTAACAGATTGCTGTTGGAGACTGAAGGAGTCAAGTCAACGCTAATGGAAGTCATCAGAGCTGTTAATCACCAGGACTTCAAAAACCAGCTCTCTGTTTGTTACTGGGGGTAATTCTTTTTATAGACCTGAGGGGTTCTTCCACTCCTCAGTGATTTGAAAGGGTTTATGAGGTCCTGTAGGAACCCGTGTGTTTTAATTGACTTGCTCACAAAGCTCTTCCAGCGTGCCAGGCAAAATACATGGGTACCATGGCCCTCATAGCCTTTAAAAATGGGCTGTGCCTATAAAGCAAACTTTATTCTGGCTCTGCAGACTGAATGATTGGAAAATAAAATGAGATTTCATGCAATTGGAAGGTGTATGGGTTTTTTATCAGATAATTCAGTTCTCCGTATGCTTTAGTGATGAGCCTATGTGGATTCCTTGACATCTACTGAAGTTTTCTTCTTCTGGATGGGGAGATGTAAGCCTCAATCCTTTCCTGTTAATTTAGTTCCGAAGCTGGAAATACTTGGGCTGCCTTAGATCCTATCACTACAGCTGTTGTTTCAGGTGCCATCCATACCTTTATGTTATCTCTGCTCAGGCAGTGCTGAGACGGGATTTGAGCTCAGTGAAATAGGAAAATGATGTGTGTGCTTTCGAAACTCGCCTCATCCCCGTGAGGATGAAAAATCGCTGCTCTCTGCAGATAGCCGGGTGTTTCTCTGCTCCTTCTTTGATTATCGTGGTTGTTCCCCTTGGGCGAGAGCCAGCAAACTCAGCTCGAGCTTCTGGAGTATCCTCAACTTGTACCAACAAATGTTTTCGTCTGTAAGTGCTCCTGATTGCTGATTGTTGGTGATTTCCCAGGGATAAGTCCATTTATTCACAGGTTCTCCTGGCAGAGGTTGGTCCCAATGTGGTGATGCCCATGGCTCTGCCCTGCTGTCACAGATGCCCCTTCCCATCCTGCTCAGCCCCCAGTAGGAGCAAGGACAGGAGCCGAGCACTTTTTCCCTCGCCTCTGCCGGATTTCATCTCTTTGTTATAATTGGTTTTTTGCTGATGCTAGGAAACGATCAGCTTTTCCCTACTGGAAGCCTGTCAGCATTAGAGATAGTGTTACCAGCATCAGAAACCCCGGTTCAGCAGAATGGCGCAGGAGCCCTACAGAGACAGCCTTTTTCTCCCTCTGTTTTTGTTCCCTCCCTCCCCCTGGTCCTTCTCAAGTACTAATGGTGAGATAAGTTTCCAACTTGGTTTAGATTAACTAGAAATAGAGGGCTTTAAATCTCAAGTACTTACAAGGTGTGACCAAGTGGAAATGCAGCTTTTGTTCAGCTTAAGCTCCTTCAAAACCTGGGCAGATGGATGAGCTACTTCATGTTTTTCTTGCATTTTCTGGGATAATATTAATCCAGAAATCTCAAGCTGAGAGAGATAAAGAGTTCAAGCAGGAATATCTGCTGTGCCTCTTGAGAGCAGTAAAGATTGCTCAGTGCTAGGGCTTGGGGAGGTCTGCAGGTCCTGCTTCTGATCTTGGGCAAGGATGGTTCATGGCATGTCCCTTCAGGGTTGGGTAATGAGTTTCTTCATCATGCTCAAGGCTTGTCCCCGTATTTGCACCCCAGGTTTCAGATGATGAAAGGCAGAGAGAAGTGCATGGGAACATGGCCACTTACAGGCAGTGAGGGCCAGGGAATTTGTTTGTTGGCCATGGTTGCTCAACAAGGATGTGGTGGAGAGGAAGGTCTTGCATCGCACCAGAAGGAGCCATTTCCATGGGACCCGGCTCCTTCCTTCTGCACGTGTGGGTTGGGAAGGGACATCAACAGGG